GGGGAGCTTCCTTCTGGGTGCTGGGACCAGCTCACCTTCTTGGCCCTAGGACTGTTATGAGCATTTTTAATTCCATGTCTTAGAAAAACAATTTTAGTGACATATAATACTTCTTTTAATATGAAGTTATCATAATTTGCTCAATCCCATGTTAGAAACTTAAGCTGCTTCTGAGTTTGTTCTGAGAAAGAACATAGCATGTGTTTACGTGCATTTTTAACTAAAACTCATTTCCTCAAAATAGGTTCCTATAAAAATTGTTGTGTCTGATACCCAGAACTGCAACCACAACTTACAGTTTTGAGTATTTACTGGGCAGAAGACATTGTTTTAGGTGCTTGACATACATAAAGTTATTAATCTCATTACTCTGAAATAAGTTTTCTTATTTTCCCTGCTTATAGTCAAAGAATCCTGAGACACAAAGAGGTGAAATAATATACCCACAGTTACAGAGTAAGAACATTTTGAAGGCTTTGAGTATTATTGCAAATAATTTTTTAAATTGCCGGGATTTTTAGAAAATAGATTGTGTTCAGCATATGATAATAGCCTTGTAAGTAGAAAGCTAAGTTTGTGGCTTGACTGGTTCCTTATCCCCTCTCCTATTCCCCAAGTTATCACTGCTTTGGAAGATTTATTGAGATTTTTGACATGCTAATTACCATAGCCAAATTCATTCTAACTGATCGTAGTTTCTCATGGAAACATCTTTTCCATCCAAGGAATTTTACTCATCAGCCAAATAGATTTTTATCTTCAGACAGTTGTAGTCTTCTGAACTGATGCAGTGTCTGCCTTCAATTCCATCATTAACCAGTTATCATTTGACCTTTTTGGTTTCTTCTTCAGCCAGACCAAACAGTCAAATTCTATTATTAGTTCTGCCCTTTATTTCTAGAGTGCTGGTTTGGTTATAGATAAAACTCTAGATTAATAATCATTTTCTCTAAGAGTTTTGAAAGCATAACTGTATTGTCCTCCAACTTGGACTGCCACTACTAGAAAATCTAATGCTATTCCTATTCTCTTATATATAAACTGTTTATTGTCACCTCTGGAACACTTTTATATATTTTTTTTTTATTCTTACTCTAAAATTTCATGATAGTCTCTCCCCCCTTTTCTTTATCTTTTATTGTGCTGAGCACTTAATTAGGCTTTAAATCAAGAGACTCCTATCTTTCAGTCCTGGGAAATTTTCTCATATTATGTTTTTGGATATGGCCATCTTTTCATTTTCTGTTCTCTCTCCTCTTTTACTCTCAGCATTATCTGAGTATTATATACCAAGCAGGGGGTAAGCACTTTTTACATATCCTATTAACCCTTAAAATAAGGAAAGTGGTATTAGCCTTCTACAAATGAGGAAAATGAAGTTCTAGGTTAGCATGTTGCTTGAATTCCTCAGGCTAATGTGAGATTCATTCCAATCTACTTCATCTATACCTGTGTTTAGCTTCTGCATGATAGTGCTACTCATTTACTGAAGAAACGGGGAGGACTGATTCTCAAAGACATTTAAAGTGTAAGGAAAATCTAAAGAGCAACTATAGAATAGTAATTCAAGCTTCTCTATTGATCTCTGGAGAGCCAACCTAGTGTAGGTATCAGAAAGGAGATTTTTTTTTTTTAGCAAGATTAGCAAATAAACTGGAAAGGAAGAAGAGGGATGGGGAGAAGAAGGGAAGGGAATAATAAGGAGTCTAGGAAGTCTTCTGATAGAAACTGGCATGGTGTGGTTGAAAAGCACAGAGGTGATCACAGGTTCCAGTAGGATCAGCTGACAACAAATGTTAGCACCCTTTCTTTTTAGAAAATACTCAAGAATGCAAAGGAACTGTTTTCCATGTTGGGGAAAAAATAGGATATATACAAAGAAACATAAAGGGAAATGAGATATAAAATAGAGTTAGGTACCTTAGAAGGCTGAACATGTGGGAACAGAAACATGGCAACATGCATACAGATCGATTCTGGGAAAGTAATCGGGAACACCTTGTGGATGAAAAAGAAAATTTCTCAGACTCCTCCTCTCAGCATTTCCCAACTTGGTGGCATTATTTATCATTAAGGTGGCCCAAGTTTACACTTGCTGCTTTTAGCTTTAAAGGTATATGATTTAATGCTTAGAACATAATTTTAGAGAATTCATGAATGGAGAAAGATGTTCATATTTCTTTACTTTTGCTCTCTTAGTTTTTTGAACATGTGAGTGTGTGTATGCATGTCCACATGCATAAGAGTAAGTGTGCAAGAAACAGTCCTGATGCAGATCCTCACAGGCAATTCTTTTGCAGTTAGCCCTGAGGGCAGCTCCATCCTATGAAGATTTTGTGGCCGCATTAACCATAAAGGAAGGTGACCACCAGAAGGAAGCTTTCAGCATTGGGATGCAGAGGGACCTTAGCCTTTACCTTCCTGCCATGGAAAAGCAGCTGGCCATACTGGACACTTTATATGAAGTCCACGGGCTGGAGTCTGACGAGGTGGTATGACAGCTGCAGGACAGCACCTCCTAACTTCAGGGAATAAAATTTGCTAAAGTATTGTGTTCCCCTACTTAATTTTCAGCAAAAGCTTCAACCCTTTTCAACCCCTTGGGGGGATGGAAAGGAGCAGGCAAAACCTAGTGCTTTTATATATAGTTTTGTAAAATATGTATGTGTTTTATGTGTTTAAAAATCAAGGTGCTATATATTTTAGTTCAATGGGCCTACTGGAAACCAAATTGTAGTTGTTACAGACTTGAACAGCAAGTAATAAGAGCGGATTTGATGAATAGATTTGTTTGTATTGTTTTATATTGTTTTGTTTTAGTTTTAATGGGCCACTCAAACTCAAGCTGCAAATGAGCAATTCTGTATCAAAGACTAAAATTTATACCCAGTGGTAAACCATCTTAGAGTTAGACTGGACACTTAAGAGAAAGTGTAAGCCCCTTTGTGAAGCAATGATAATGTCGTTTGCTGTTCCTAGACGTTCTCCAGTGGATCTTCTTCTCTGGCTCTCAGTGAGAAGAGCCTGGTAGAGAGAAGGTTTGGGCATTAGTGTGACCATGCGATGGTGGGAAAATGTGGGCAAGGACTGCCATCCCTTTTGACAGGTGAGGCCTTTTGTGGCTCCAGATGAGAGGTGTGCCCTGACCTCACTGGAGGGCAGGATGGGAGAAGTGGACACGTCATTTGAGGTGACACCTATCTTGTGCCCACCCTTTGCCACATTTCCATGGCATTATCTCAATGGGACCTCACAAGAAAACCATGACACTCAAGGAGATTCTTATTCCACTTCCAAAGTGATGTTTAGAGGTGGAAGGATCTCCTCACACTCGTGTAGTCTCTTAAGTAGTGATTTCTAAATAGAATCTGGACTATATTTGTATCGAAGTCACATGGTGTCACATGTCCATTCAAAGACTGGAATTACCTAAAGAACCCAATGTGGAAGTGGGACACAGGAATCTGTGTTTAGATGAACTTCCCGAATGATTCTTATGCACACCAGATAGAGGAACCATTTGATTAAATTCGAGTTTTCAGAATTTCAGAGTCTTGCAAGAACCAAATGATACGTCCTTTTTTCAAACAGGAAGAGTCCATCATTTAAGGAAAATAATTCAATGGAGAGCAAGAAGTGGAGCAAGTTTACTCAGCAGCATGCTTCATTGAGCCAGGATCAGTACCCAGCAAACAGACCTTGGCATAGCATTCAGGGCCATGGCTCTGAATGTGTCCTCTGATCAGTCATGGCTTTGAGACCAAAAGTGCAGAGCAAACTAAAGGCAGCTGCATATCAATCTCAAAAGCTTTGGAGTGGTGTCAGGGTTTATAGATGGGACTCGAATATTTTATAAAATAACCTTGGGAAGACATTCTTCTACAAAGTGTGATACCCAAACTGACCCTTGACTCCCAGTACTGGGCCAAACTGCCACAGTGTGCATAGGAGAGATGCCATGAGTACCTTCCTTTTTAGAGGCCACTTTCCTATGGTATCAGGAAGGGATGCTCCAGCATAAGATAGTTCCTGTGGGAGAACGTGAGTTGCTTTGAGGGACACAGGTGAATGGAGCAGCGCTGGATGATGCTGTAGATCCTTAGGGCAGGAGAATTCTCTCCTTAGCAGAATGCTTCATGTAGGAAGGAAACTGATCTTGACTTTTCTCTTAAACAGGCATTTATTTAGCCCACATTAATGAAACAAATTGAGCGAGGCAAGGTGGTACACACCTGTAGTCCCAGCTACTCTGGCAGCTAAAGCAAGAGAATCTCTTAGTCTAGGAGTTCAAGACCAGCCTAGACAATGGAGTGAGATGCTGCTCCTTAAAATTAAAACATAAAGTTGTTTTTTAAAATAAACAAAGTGTGTATTTAGCCTATAAAAGAACTTCTGGAAAATATTTAGAAAAATAATATCTTGTTTTAAGGCTAGAGAAGAAAAAGAGCTAAAGTGAGGTTGATTATATTTTAGCATTTGCTGTTGGCAGCTGCTAAGGTGTATGGGGTATTTTCCTGGCACTCAGGAGAGCTTTCTGTGGATGTCCTTCTCTGTTTGGGGTTGGTTGGTTGGTTGGTTGGTTGGTTTGTTTGTTTGTTTGTTTTGAGACAGAGTCTTGCTTTATAGTTCACACTGGCCTTGAATGCAGTGTGTAGCCCAGGCTGGCCTTGAACTCTTGGTGATCTGCCTCAGCCTCCCAAGTGCTGGGATGATAGGCATGCGCCACCACACCTGGCTTGGATGTCCTTCTCTGGCTAGTGTGAAGGTGAAGGTAGGACTAGGGTATAATTTAGACTTCTGCCCTTGACATCCCCCCCTCAAAGGGAAGCAAGAGAGGTCAGTTTTTGCTTATACTGTGAGTGAAGATGCTTTAGGCACTGTGCTCTTAAAAGGGGATGCTACCAGGAAATTGTTGGTGTTATGAAGCTGACTGTTCCACGAAAATGCTGGTGCTCCCTTCACTTCAAGTGATCTCCTGTGGTCCTTGGAGAGTAGGTGGATGCTCTGAAAACACCTCAGGTTTGCCATCGAGGCTCTGAATGCACACAAAAGGACAGCTGCCCTGTGTGGCCATTTCATGTTTTTACAAGTACTGCCTACATGTTTACAACTCAACTTTTGAAGGATAAGGAGTTTAGTATTATCTGAATAGAATAGCTTCAATAACTTGAATAAGTTCCATTTTCCAATCACCCTGTTTTCAGCCCTACAGAAAGGGAGTAATGTTTTTCAGTAGATATTTTCCTCACCGGGGAATTAGTTTGCCTAAGGTATATAAAACTGAGGATCCTTAAAAAAAACAAGCTAGAAATTGAATGTAATACTAAACAATAAATTCAGCTCGACCTGAATCTTGGCGCAGAGTTTCTTCATTTAAAGTCATCATCTGTGCTGATGAGCAGTGACTTTCTAAAAGGAGGCAATGGGATAAAATACTTCAAGCTTTCTTCTGTAGCCTTCCAAGAGCTCTGGGACACTTGAGCTTTCCTTTACCCTGACACTGAAAGAGAAGAAGCTCTACTATGTTCGTTGCTTTCATTGCTTGAGACATCTGTAGGATTTCTTTTCTGGTATAACCTTTAGAAGAAAAAGGAGATATGTTTTGCTGGGTGTTGGCAGAAGCGAGGAAACAGCATTGGCTCCTAGGAAGCACTTCCTCACACAGTTGTATCAAGCCTGACTTCTTTACTGGGAAGCCACCTTCTCATTGGCCAGGATCAGTGTACGCTTGTGGAACTGAACAAAAGCCTCTCACAAGCAAAGCTTTTGTCCTTTAGAAGCAAGTCTGATCCATTTAGCTAGTCCTGGTGACAAGGATTGGAAACCAGCTTGTAGCCATTGGGAGGAAGTGATTTTTCTCATGGGCTCTTGATCTAGCTCTAAAGCGAATTCCAGTGGGGTCTGGCAGAATGTGGAGCACACGAGCCTAGGGAGTTGATTTTGAAGGGTAATGTTCATTAGGTTGTGTGAGTAGTGGCTTGAGGTACCTTCTCATTATTATGTGTGTGTTGTTCTGAACATGAAGGTTCCCCCAGTGTCATGTTCCACAATGGGAGACCTCTTTACTCCATTGTTCAGCTTTGTGGCTTTTCTCTCTTTGCGACTAAAAAGTGCCAGCAGTTCCCCCCTTAACACTCCACCCCCAAGCCGTTGTGCCCCATTCCACAGCAGCAGCTTCCAGTATATGAACAGCATCTGGCTCCAGCTTAGACTCCAAGAGCTTCAGGACAGAACCCGTGTTCCTATTGGTAGCTATAGGACAGGTGAATACTGACTTGTGGCACCTGGGAGAGGTTTTCTGTTACCTGGTGAGTGCTGTTGAGAAGTTTGCACTCTACTCCTTTTGGTTAGTACTTCCATATATATCTCCAAAAAATTAATGCTTTCAACTTTGTATTTTCAGTAGTGTTCTTAATTAAGAAAAATGTGTGATAGGGACTAATAAATACAGTATACTTTATTAAATTTGAGATGAGGAAAAGAACTAAAAATTTTTATAAAGGAAACAATCTGATTATGAAAATCATATATACGGAGAAATATCAGATAAAGCAATAGAGTCAGAGGGTCATGAGCAATAGAAGATGATAATAAGGCATTTGGGAAACTTTTGTTTTTCCTACTAAGCTACCATGTCCTGTAGGAACTTGGTTACATAATGGTGCATTTCTGAAACACTGATTAAATCCAGTCGTTTCTGACTTTAGTCATTTGTTTTACAGCTGTTCAGTTCCTCACTCCTCATGTTTTCTTTCTTTTTTTTTTTTAAGGTTAACTACCAATCTTTTTAAATTTAAAAGTTTTCAGATGATGAACTTGTAAGTAAATGAAGTATATGGGAAGCCATTGTTCTGTTAGGTGAACTAATGTGTTTGGTCTTGAGGGCCTGACTTCAGATGCTTCATGATGTCATACAGTGTATGCACATACTTCATTGTGTGCAGTGAACCTCTGTTCCTGTAAAGTATATGTAGAATGCTTTATTTAAAGATATGTTCCTCTTCTGTATGACCCTTTGTAACCTGCAGTTGCTTTCTCAGGGGTTTCCTAGTCATGACATGAAATATTCACTCACTGTCTAATGATATTTTAAGACTTGTATCTATTACAGGTCATTTCCACAATTTCATAAATGTATTGTTCACTAAGCCTTCCCTATATATGTTCCCAGTTCCCATCCTGCCTCAGACAGTCAATAGTCTTGTGGACGGTGACCATTTGCATGATTCCTTGTTGCACTGCTGCATTCAGGCACTCCAGGGCATGATGGAACGGTCATTGATGGTGCCTCTCTAGTATAGTTAATGCATGCATTGATCTCTCTCCTCTGTTTCTAAAATAACCTTTAATTAAAAGGAAGAACCATACCATTACTGTGCATTGCAAAAGTTTTTATAGATCTTTGGTTACCTTTATGAATCACTTCCTTTCAAATGAAAGATGTTTTTAGCTAAGTTATGTAAGAATATAGGAATCAATGTCCTGCTTGTTTTAAATGCTTCATATATTTTAAAGTGTAGTCAGTATTTCTTCCCTGTACCTTACAAACAGAAACCACTCTGGATGGTTGGTACCCCTTGCAAAGCTTATCTCTTCCACATAGGCTCCTTGTGTATCTGTGTTTATTTACAGGTGTATAAAGAGTCAGCAATGATAAGGCTAATGAGCCAATTTCATGGCATGTTTAATGTATGATTCCCATGTATCATGAGAATTTAACTAGAATGTCATTAAACGGCCCAACTACCTCATGTGAAATTGGCTGTGGACAATCTGTGTTAGATGAGAAATGTGCTCAGATAAATTTATTCTGGTTGATAGATTGAACAAAGTGATGTCTGTATAAAGCAGAAATATATTAGACCATATGCCAAAGGCTAAAATGTACATACATTTTCTTGAATTAGTTCTTAAGTCAGTGTTTAATTCCACACCCAGGATTCTTATGAATGTTTGTTTCATACATCCATGCACTTTGAATATCTGTCACATGCAGACCATTACCTGTTCTAGTCCTTCAGCATTTTGAATGAGTATCTTATGCCAGTGAAAAGCAAGATAAACAACAAGTGTCAAATGGTTTATTGACTTCTTAATTTAATAGACCTTTACGTAGAATATAATGCAATATAGACTTTTAGGACCAAGTGATGAATGAGAATTTCATGGTTAGGTTTGTACTGTTTCTCTGTCCTAGTTATTATTCTGTATCTCATGGGGAGGGAGGAACAAGGGAGGGTTTTCCTTTTTTTGGAAAATGTTTGAAAACATCTGTCAGATTTTATATTCGTTAGTTATAATAAACTTATTTTTAAAGTATTTTATAAAGTGCTTAAGTATCATTTATGGAACACACATCCCTTGCCAGGCCTCATTCTAAGTCCTTGGCAAATATTAATATATCTCCTCCTCCTAATAAACTGTAGGGCAAGTACTGCTGTTTTTTTCAAGTTATAAATGAGCAAGCTGAAGCACAGATTGGAGAATCCCCTTTCTTAAGACAAACAGCTAACGAGGAATAGAGCCAGACTAACCCAGCTTTAAAATCTTCCTAAAACTGTAATACCTCAATAGAAGATAACTTTGAAGACAGCTAACCACTGTCCTGACATTGCCCTGCAGGTTTTAAGCATTCTAGAAAGACAAGCTCTTTTCAGAGGTACCTCTGTTCTTTGACTTGGTTTAATTCTTTTTCAGAGATACAGTACCTCAGATACTCAACAGATAGATGAATTTGCTTAGCATGTTTGAGTGACCTTGTGCTGAATTAATTGACATTTTGTAGCAGACTTTTTAAATTTTGGCCTATCTCACTTTATACCAAAGTAGTAGTAGAAACACAGTAAATCCTAGCCATCAGTTCACCTCTAAACCCCTCTGCAATTCTAAACGATACCACATAAGTTAGACCTTAGGGACAGCAACTATGACTCACAGGTGACTGGACTAATCCTTTGGTGTTATGTTCTAGTTGGTATAGCTGCCTCTTTCACTGAATTTGACTTCACCTTCAAGCGAGGTACCCAGCACCTGACAATGCCTTTTCTGCCCATGACAGGATTCCAAAACTGTTGTAGAAGTTGAAAGTCACCTCAGGTGATGTTTCCTGATTCTTTCAGACCTGATAGTTCTGTTATATAAAAATATATCTGAAGCAAAACTATACATATCTTTTTTTATTCCTGTCTGCTTCCTTAGCTGCTTAAGAAACACTTTGGATGACTGACTGCTCAGAGTATAATTTATGTGTTCTTTTTATTTTGCCTTTCTTAATACACATATAAAACGTTCATATAGTGATATTTATATGTGTTAAATTGTGAACAATAGGCAAGGTCCAGTTCATGGTTCTCAGATCTGTACATGTAGAATCACTGGAGGGACTTTAAGCAAATAAAAAGAGTGATATCTGGGGCCCTCCCAGACCACTTAAGTCAGTCTCAGGAATGTGGCCTGTCACTGATAGTTATTAAAATCCCCCAATTATTGTAATGTCACCAGAAAGTGACACTTCCTCTCCCAAAGCTGCTGGTTTAGTCTTTTTAAATTGTGCTGTGGGATCTTTCAGGATAAATGAGGCCACATCACAGAAGCCCATCCCCTAGAGAAGTGATGGTGAACCTTTTAGAGATGAATGCCCAAACTGCAACCCAAAACCCACTTATTTATCGCAAAGTACCAACACTGCAATTAAACCTGAATACTGAGGTTTTAGTTTTGAAAAATGTCATACATTAACATCTTTTGTCTTAAAAGAAAAACAGCACATGTGCCATAGGTTCACCACCACTGCCCCAGAACCTAAAAAAATGAACAACTAAAGCAAATAAAAATTTAAAAGCTAAAAACCAGTTTTTTAAAAATTCAGCAGCATTTGGCCATGGTGGCACACACCTATAATCCCAGCACTCAGGAGGTTGAGCCAGGAGGATCACTGTGAGTTCAAGACCAGCCTGAACTATGGAATGAGACCAAAAAAATAAACCAACAATCAAGCAATAGAAGGAGTCTAACTTTGTGTCCTAAATTCAAAAGATGAGAGCCAAAGAAAATTATCAGACATTTCTGGCAAGATGGAAGAGCTCCTAGCCCCTCCTAACATTGGGGAATTTGTGAATTCCAGAAACCTCATTAAGATCTCAGGTTTTGGAAAGAATTGATTAATAAGTTGAAGGAGAATGGGCATGCTTATTTCTTCCTTCCTCTAGTGGACCTATTGTGGGCAGAGTTAGGGTGGGGTGAGGATGATGAGGGTAGGGAGAGTTTACTGGGAAGAGAAGCAGGAAATGGGGGACTGGGCATAGCTTATTTCTGAGAAAAACCCACATTCCAAGGATGGCCCCATGATATATAATAGATATGTTTCCTCTCTATTTGGAATTCACTCTAAGAGTTAGTGAAGTATCAAGACAGAGAACAATCCAGTCCCTATAGCAAAAACTTATTTCTGCAGTTTAGATCTTAAATGTGGCCAAAGGCCCATATATTAAAGGATTGGCCCCTAGGGTGGTGCTGTTGGGAATGGTGCAACATTTTAGAGGTGGCGCCTCATGAGAGGTCTTTAGGTCATTGGGGGTTTGCCCTCAAAGGGGATTGTGGGACCTGGGTCTCTTTTCTCTTTTCCCCCTGGCTACTAAGGTAAGCAGTTTTGCTCCAACTGGCACTGCTGCCATTGTGTGCGGGCTTCCCCCCTCACAGGCGCAATGAACAGGGCCAATGGATCATAGACTGACACCGCCAAAACTGTGAGCCAAAATGAACTTTTCATCTTTATAAGTTGATTATCTTGGGTATTTTATTATGCATTTTTAAAGAAATATCTGTTGGGTTAAAGGAATATTTAAAGTTGAACAGTTGCTTCAGTTCACACTGATTTCTTAAACACAAGCAAATTAGTTGAATGCTATTTTAAAATAAATGTGATTAGAAATAAATATGAGAAAATAACCGTTATCTTTCTATATCTGTGTAGAGAAAAAAATTCAAAAATAATAGTTGTTTTAGATTGATACTGATTTTGTTTGATCTTTGTGTTTTTTATATGTTGTGTGGTTTTCATTTGATAACCATGCTATGATTTTTAAATGGAGGAGGGTGGCTGTGGATGTAGCTCAGTGGTACTGTTATGGAAATCTCAGAAAGAAATACACAGAGACACAGAATTCGGCTAAAATAATAAAATTCCTTCTCGCAAGTGGACTGGAATGCCAGAAACCAGTCTGGTCAGTATCCGCATCCCCTTTGTTCAGCGTTTCCCTTTTTATATCCTTTTCAGCCATTATCTCATCCCTAGTGGTCTTTGATGTGTAAATACAATTCCAGTTCCTATTTACAAATCACAGACACAAGATAGGCACATATACATTGTAAATTCACCCTGGCATAGTACTTTTGTTAGGTTAATGAAGTTACCAGTTAGAGTCAGACAACTGGCACCTTAAACAAGGAGTTATGGGAAAAGCAAAGCTTAAAAGAACACATTACTTATTTTGTTTCTACAACTACCTTAATATTCAATCTGTTAAGTTATCTAAAACTTTTCTGTATCAGTACAACATATGCTTAGCATACATGAGGCCCTGGTGCCATCCCAGCACCAAACAGAAAAAGAAGAGGAAAGATAGTGTTCTAAAAACAGGTTTAAGAGCATTGTCCAGTGTGAGTGACTCCCTGGTATACACTGCTCCTTTCGATGACATTTACTTTGTGTTATGGTTTGGATCTTAAATGTCCCCCAAATGCCATGTGACTTGGTCACCAGCCTTTGGTGCTACAGGGAAATAGTTGAAACTTCCAGACATGGGACTTAGTTGGGGGAAGTTAGGTCACTGGGGGCATACTCTTGTGGGGGATATTGGGAACCTGGCCCCTTCCCTTCTGCTTCCTGGCCACCATGAAGTGAACAGCTTGGCCCAGAACAACCATGGACTGGAACTCTGGAAGTGTGAACCAAAGTAAATCTTTTGTCACAGGAACAGAGAGCTGACTAACACACTTTAAAACCTCTTTCAGCTGAGTGTTCTTACCTTGATTAGTGTACCAGAAGATGGTCACAAGACCAGAGCTAGCAAACTTCTTCAACCACAGTGGGACTCATAATAACTATCACAAAACTGTTACAAGGATCATATCGGAAATTGTGCATAAAACTTGTAGCATGGCTTCTCACACAGGATAAAAACTCCCAAAATAGTGCTGAATGTGATGACCCATGCCTGTAGTCCCAGCTACTCAAAGCTGAGGCAGTTGCTTGTGCCCAGGAGTTCAAGACCAAACTGGGCAATGTAGTGAGAACCTTTGTCTCAAAAGCATAAGCCCTCTCAAAATGATGGTGGTGACAATAGTTGTTATTGTTGTGTGGAACGGAAGTCAGGCTCCATCATGACGAGTTTTCCTGGCTGAAAAGCCTTTTCTTACCTGGGCCCCCTGTCCTTCTCCATACAGCTCTGCACTGTGTGTCAGGCAGTATGTTGTCATCTCACCACATCTCCATGTGCACCCAGTACCCCCTCTTGGTTGAGCCCCAGAGCCAGATGTGCATCCTAGTTGGAAGGTTCCAGAAGAATGGTTAAGCAGGGCAGACACTACCCACTGAACCCCACCCTCTGTATGCCGGAGGACATGGAATATATTTTTCTGCCCTCACCTTGTCTCTTACTCTGGAGCACACTCATTTCTTTGAACTGGCCCCCTCCCAACCCCTTGAGTTCTGCCTGCACTGCGAGTCACTGTCCCCAGGTCTCTGGTCACTGTAGTGAGCACATGATCCAGAACAGACCTGCCAAGGGTGTACCCTGGGAGTATGCATCTGAAGACAGAGAGTGTCCCTCTCCACTAGGATCACTAATTGGGATGGCATACCCACCTGCACCTGCCCTCCCCTGGCTCCATTTCAGTCTGTGGCATGAGGAAAGCAGGGCACAGAGGGAGCTGAGAGGGTACCACAGGGTGCAGAGAGCAGGGGGCTGGGGAGAGAGCACATAGGATGTGTTGAGTGCTGGAGCAAATCATTCCTGGGCCAGCTCCCTGCTGCCTTTTCCAGTTATGTAAGTTGATAAATCCCACTTTATTGAAAGCTCTTTGGAATTAGGTTTTTGTCCCTTGTAACCAAAAGGGGCCTGAGAAATTTTCCAATAAGTCCATGTTCTTTTATGGTAGACTTAATAGAAGAAAACTGAGAAACATATCTAAACTGGATATCCCAGCTGGGAATCCAATTTAAAACACAACTATTTGTTTCTGCTCCAGCACCAGAGCACTTACTGGGCTGAGTTTTTGAGTTGTTAGCTTTTGCCTCCTTCCTAATGAACAATTTTAAT